GCTGAGGTATATAAACCACGAATATACAGAATAAATACTACTGTAAAGTAATAAACAGAAGTTACATGATATGATTTGGTAAGGTGTGGCTGCTATGAAAAATAGATGAAGATTACATAATGATAATAATTCGTCACGTTTATTCATTCCCAGAGGCTCGATGGTTTGGGCTTTATGAGTGAGGTGCGCCTCACTTGTTTCCTAAGACAATCGCGTTCATATCTACGTGTTTCAATACTAGGGATAAGTAACATATGGGAAACAGAGTGGCTATTGCTGAGAAAGTGTTCTGAAACTGCGGTTTGGATGTCACTACCGGAGGGGTAAAGTATAGGGCGTCTATATCTAAAAACGGTCCTTGAGGCGGCGTCTGGTTTCCCCAAAATATTGCAAATTTTATACAAAGGTAGCATTGAATCATGTCGAAAACATTGAAAATATTGCAAGTAATGTGAGATTTGATTTTGTAGGTTTCACCAGCAGAGTAGAAAGTATAATTGTCACGGCCGTGCATGGTCAATATAGGCGCATGTGGTGCAGTTCCTGCTGTTACACCGAAAAGAACCGGGAGTGGCCTGGGCATTGTTACAATTATCAGTCTCTTGCAATTGGACTCTAACAAGAATATCGCTTAAATTGTTAGAATGGCAGTAAGATACTATTGGAAGGTTTTTAAAAACATTTCTACAACGTTCTGAGGAGTAGAGGACGTGGGAATCTTTGCGAATAATGTGCGCGACATTCAGGTGGCAATGTAGCGTTATATGTAATAACAAAACGGAGTGGTTTCAGTCTGCGTAGGAGGTTTGTCTTTAAGTGCGTCAGCACGGGGAACGTCTGAGGCACGCTGTATTTGTGTCGTGAGAAAGGCTTTGTCGTAACCACGATTGGTAAGGAAGTTAATAAGTTCATTAGTGAGCTGTATGTAACTGTCATGGCTGGAAAAGATGCGGCGAAGGCGAAGTGCAAGGCTGTAAGGAATAGAGCGCTTAGCGTGATGAGGATGACAAGATGAAATGACAAGATACTGGTGTTTGTCAGTAGGTTTAGAATTCATAGGTCAGTTTCCATGAAGCCATCCTTGACTGAAACCATGACATCAAGGAAAGGGATATTGTTAAACGAGTGTGAGCATGTAAACTTTATGGTGGAGTTTAAGTTGTTAAGATAATCGACAAATAGCTACAGTTTCTCTAGACCTTCAGTCCAGATCATGAAGATATCGACGATGAATCAGAGCCCTAATAATAGTTGATAGGGAGCGCGAAGAAGAGCGTCGTGTTCGAATTTTCCAAGAAATAAGTTGACGTACGACCGAGCGATTCTAGTGCCCATAGCTGTACCGAGTTTATGAAGATAATGCATGCTGAGAATTAAAAGTGAATTTGATCATGGTGAGGATAACACAAATGAGGTCGCAAATGGCTTCTGTAGAAAAAGGTTTTTATTAGCTCTAACAATTTAAGCGATATATTTTTGTTAGAGCTCAATTTCCAGAGACTGATAATATCAACAATGCCCGGGCCACTCTCCCTGTTCTTTTCGGTGCAACAGCAGGAACTGCACCACATGGCCCTATATTGACCACCGCCGTGACAATTATACTTTTGCTACTCTACGGGTGAAACCTACGAAATCAAATCTCACATTCATTGTAATCTTTTCAACATGTTCAATGTTATCTACATGATTCAATGCCGCCTTTGTAATTTGCAATATATTGGGGAAACTAAACGCCGCCTCCAGGACGTTTAAATGAACATAGACTTCCTATACTTAACAGGCCTTCGGTAGTCGCATCCAAACCGCAGTTTCAGAACACTCTCTCAGCAATAGCCATTTAGATATGAACACGATTGTCTCAGGAAAGCAAGTGAGGCGCACCCCATTCATATAGCCAAAACCATCGAGCCTCTGGGAATGAACAAACGTGACGAATTATATTAATCATTCTTTATCTATTTTTCTTAGCAGCCACACCTTACCACGTCATACCATGTAATTTCCGTTTATTATTTTACAGTAGCATATATTCTGTATATTCGTGGTTTTCCGTAATAAAACGGATGAAGCCTGGTAGTGGCCAGTCGAAATGTTGTATACCTTAGCCTTTTTCACGTTTTTTGATCAGTCTTTTCAGTAGTCTTTTTGACTTTAATTCTACTTTTTGTGTCTTGCTTCGAGGCCACTGGATCCTATTATAAGGTGTTCCGAGGACACAAGCAATTTCGTTTTCTTATAAACGCGCTAGAGACCTAATAGCAGAGCCCCATAGCTGAGAAAATTCAGTTTATCTATTCGGTAGTCACGTGACCGTCCGTCTGTCCGTCCGCACAACAGGGCAACTAATGTGAAATTTCACACTTTCTAGCTAGTGGTGGAAGCCTGCAACCTGCTATTGCACACCCGTCATGATCACTATTAACAGCTATTGAGAGGAGAAAGTGTGACGCCATGGTAGCAATCAGTATTTCTGGATCACAACAATGGGGCGCTTAAGCAACAACGTCGGCGACGGCAACGAGAACGGCAAAAAAGCAATCGATTTACATTAGCAAAGCAGCAACTTTGCACGTGCATCACGCTTTTTGTACATTTCTTAGCCGTCGTTGCAAGTCTGCGACTTGAAACTTCCTAATTTCACACGCCCGCCTTATGGAGTTGGTGAACCCAACACAAGAATTTTCTTTTCTTTTTACCAAACTGAGATAGGGTCCTTTCGGATTCAACCCCGTACAATTTTGCCAAGATTTTACAAATTCAAATGAAATGGAATAAGATCGACAAAGCTTGAATCAGTGCGAATTTACTTTTTAAGTGACGTTTTCGCTTAGTTGTCATCCAGAAATTTTGCTGCCATGACAACGTGACGTAACACTTCTCCTCTCTATTCCAGGGTAAGTTTATGTTTGTGTAACGGATGTAATTTTATGCTAATTGTACTATATTTACCGTTTGCTTCATCTGTAGCAGTATATCGTTAAATATGTAAGAGGAACACTATAGACAATAAACAATGAACTCAAAAACCTTCAAAATTGTCCAAAATACCACTTTTCTGGCAAAAGCACGACAGTTTATCGTAGCTAATATAAGGTAATAAAACGTTTATTTAGCCCCTGATCGCCTTGCATTTTCAATACACATCACCCACTGCGCATAGCATCACGACATCAAAGTTAGCGGGGATTTTACTACGGGTCGCCTAATTAAAGAAAAGTAACAAAGGCCCCTTTTGTAATCCTTCCCGGCTAGAAAAGATGTTGGTCCTAAAACTTGTCCCAGTCCCTTCGCTAATAATGATCTTTTAAACCCCAAATGTATTTGTCTCTTTGTTGTCTTTTCACGCTGGGCTCATAGGACGCAAAAGGCTGTAACATGGGAACTACTTTTGCATTTTTTATTCGTTACTTTAAGCTCAAACTTTGCAGGATAGTAGAACTCTGTATTCCAAAAATACTATGATTTTTGTTTTTCAATTTTAACGCTTTTTGGCGGGAAAATGACATGTAATTTCCGCAAAACAGCAAAACAAAAGTTTTGGCAAAACAAATAAATAATTTTGAAAGAGCTGGACGTGTCGTGGGCCCGCCGTGTTTTGCAATGACGCCAGACAGGAGCCCATCAGGGCGGTTGCGCGAGAACGGTTACCACTAATTTTATTGGTGTCTTTCATACGTTATGGCTATCTCAGCGTCTGGAGTTACAGAGGTTTATAAGATAATGTTAAAACTGTCCAATTTTCTTACATTTCTCTAAGATCGGGCACTGACTTAAAGTCACTTAACCGAAAAATTATTGCCCAGACAATATTAATCCAATTAATTAAATGGGCCCTAAGTTTTAGTACAATTTTTGACGGTTGTTCAAATTTATTTAGTCTGGTGAAGAAGTATCCATATTTGAAGGGAACAAGGGGAGTGGTAGGGAGGAAGTATATAATCTCCTGCGCAGCTCTTTTTTTTGTCTTCGAGTTGCGTCAAAATAGGCACAAAAACGGCTACGTATGAGGCTACGGAGGAAGCTTAAGGTGGCTCCCTAGAGTATTTACCAATAACCCCAGCTATCTAGCATACGATGCGGAAGGAAATCCAGTTACTTTGTCTTTGCGATTTGGTTCACGAAATTCACCGCTAACTTTACCCTTGTAAAAAGGCGCATTTATCAAGTTTTATTTTCTGGATTAAGGCCGTTGCCATGGCAACATCGCATCCCTAAACAGGCAGTTATTTTGTCATTTTTGATCATTTTTTCTTAATATTTCCTATTTCCGTCGGTGAAATGTCTTTAAACTTTGTCACTTTATGTTAACGATATTGCTTAATTAAAGTGGAAAAAACAAGGGGTCGTTTGGACGGTTGAAATTTGTAACTTTTCTTAATAGAGGAGTTTAGCTCTTACAGATTTTAACAAGAAAAGGACAGTACAAAGGAACTGCAACTGTTAAGAAATGAGGCGATTTTTAATCTGGGGTGGGTACTCAATCATCATGCATTATCTCTTCCTCTCTAGTCTCCTACGCAGCCGTTTTTGTATCGATCTTGACTTCACGCAACGAGACGAAAAAAAAAAAAGCTGCGTAAGTGAATACTTCCTCTGTACTTCTCATGTCCCCTTCAAATAATTTATCTTTCCAGACTAAACCGAACCCATGAATCGAATGGTATTCATAAAAATATTGAGCACGTGTATAATATGAGGATCGGAGCATTTAATCCTGAGAATATAAATTGACAAAATTTCGTCCATTTTCGTTCGTGCCTCTGGTAAAAATTCATTTTCAAAAATTAGGTGTGTTCCACGGGGGTAACTCATTGACTGGGTCCACAAACAGGCCCATGGACTAGGTCCACAGAGGTGGTCCTTGCATGCTTTGTACACCTTATTACATGAAATTTTCGCCACACGCTAATTTCTAGAAGTTCGCGATACAAAAAAAATCGCGAAATAAAGTGACGCGAACAATGAGTGTCGCGAACATAACATGACGCGAAAATTAAGTGTCTGTAAGTGCTGTAAACTTATGCGGCTTAGTACTGGATCGTTTTACTGCCATCATCCATCCTCTAAGATACATTACTTTGATGACTCGCCCTCGAATTATTCAAGTTATTTTCTTCTCTTGGGTTCTACCAGTTAGTTTTAATGTGCTAAAAGTTATCCTTTATACGTTTTATTTCAAAACAATTCCTGCCCCCGTTTTTATTTGGCTGAGTATTATTTTCTTCGAGTTCCTACCAAGTGTTGTCTTAATGCTCTTCTTTGTATCAATGATATTTCACGTACGCAGGCTTGGTCGGTTAGCACGCATCGTAGCAGAGCAGCTACGTTTTAACCATCAGATGTCGTTTAAAATCCATCACCAGAGGTCTGCAGTAATAATGATGGGTCTTGTGATAGGAGTGTTTCTTGTTTGCTATGGGATGTATCTGCGTTGCAGTTTTACAATACTATTCCACACCACCTCATGTAAAGATGAAAACTACAAAATTCCTTTCTTGGTTTTAAACTCAGCCATTAACCCTCTGGCTTATGCCTTTTTCAAAAGAGACATAAAGAAAGAGTTTAATTGACTTCTTGGACCTGTGTTTTAATTTAAAGAAAATATTAGTAATGTTAACGAAAGCCTACCACTTTACGAGCGTACGCGTAACTCGTTGTTGTAGGATGTAGGTCTTTTAAGACGGTGAAAGGCTTGAGAAGAGACTGATAAATCTGTGACTCTTGGACTGAAAGCGAATTGAAATTTGGAAAAATGGCGTATGAGGAGAGAAAACAAGAACATTTGTACGCTAAGAGAATTTAAAAAACTAGGGAAAGGACTTAGGATCAAGATTCACACAGTAGTGGGAGGCGAAAGTCACATCACATGGAACTTTTTAGTATCACATTGTAAGAGTATAATTCAATTTATGTCCACATCCTGCTAGCAGAGCCTTTGTTTTGGCGCACTGTTAAAAAAGAAATACTCCGCATGAATCGAGTAAGATCATCTTGAGGGTCTCTGATAGGTTTTTTGGGATCCGGGATTTCCCTTATTTGCTCGGGATTGGGGATTTTAAAGCAAAATCGGATGAGATTCGGGATGGAAAGTATGCGTGAGAGTTAGAATGCCGAAAATAACCCTCGGCTACGGGATTACACGAAATTTTGGGTCGGGATGACAGGATTGAAGAACCCTACAGTGGGGACCCTCATGGTTGAGGGTCCTCACACATGTTCAATACTCTCGATTAGATTCCAGTGGGCAAAGCCTAGAGTCCAATGGAGTCTGTTCGAAAAATGAAACCGGAAGTACAGTCGAGTCCACTTGAATTACCGGAAGTCTAGCCATAAGATGAAACTGGCAGTGTAAACAACACTTTGAGGAGGGTTGGAAAGTCGTCCGATGGAGTCCATCGTCTGCACATGTAACAAATCGCGTTCGTTAAGTCCTAAGTCGAGACTGGCACGCTTAACATGCAACATATGAGTCGGAAAGTCGAAACAAACACGCTATACATGTGAGATTACTGCTCGTTCTTAAAGCGATGAGCCGAAACAAGCACGCTACAAGTCGTTTATTAAGAGGCAATTTTACCTTCTCGCTTCTTTTTGCATGACAGAAACGAAAAAAGCTTCTTTTAATAAAAGCTGCTTTAACTCTTGTTGTAATTTGTAACACCCGTCTCAGTTTCTAATAAAGAACGGTCCAATTAAGAATACAATGACAGCGCAATTATTTAGTGAACCAAGTTAACAATAAATTGCAGTAAAACAAGATTGACTTTGTCCCGTTTGATTGACTGATATTTTTGCGCTATTGCCACTTGACGTTCCCCAATTTCTCTACCTCTTGCTAGCGTAGGAATTCGTCAAGTTAATAACTGGAACCCTGATATTTATGCAAAATGTTAAGTTTTCAAGTATATAATCTCGTCTTGCGCGTCTAGCGTACGCAGCGCGAAAACTGCGCGTGGTCTCAGTGTTGCAATCTCGGGTGCTCCATATTTCTTGCTATACACCTGACATCATGCAGTTGACGTCACGAAGCAATTTGTGTTTCCAGGCAACATCAGGCGCATTATCATGTTTTATTCATGAAATGCTGATTCTGCGACGGTACGTTTATTCAATCACGAACAATTTCTCATGCAAATGACACACGAAAGCAAGCATAACAACGTTAGCTGGATTCACCAAGTGGCACCGAGTTCACTCATGCATGTACACGAATAACTATAATTGAACACTTGAAGAAATTATTTGGTACTTTTTACAGGGATTCAGTGCTATTGAAGGCAGGCATATTCAATAATCATAAGTCATAAGTCATGAGTTATGAGTGTAATTTCCTCTTCGAGTTCCTTCCATGTGTTCTGTTAATACTCTGCTTTGTATCAATGATATTTTTGACGCATGCGGGCATGATCAGCCAGCACGCACCTTGGCAAAACAGTTACGCTTTAACCATCAGGTGTTTTCAAGTTGCATCTCACATAAACAGGGGCGTAACCAGGGTATTTTCTCTCCAAATGCCCTTATCCCCCAACCCCTGCTCAATGTTCCAAAAGGTGAGATTATTGTAAGTCGAAGCGTTCTTACTGTATACAGCTGTTTCGAGAAAGGTTGTCGGAAGAAATGCGCACGTGACAATCCCGAAAGGTAATATGGGATATGATCAATACACTGTTCGTAACGACTGAAGCTGTCAAACCTGCTTTTGTTGCTTTCCTTTAATACTCGCAAGCATATGTCCGTGGCCTCCCGTACCATTCTTTCAAATTTCTTTGAAGAACATTGCCCTCAAAGCCACCCAAAATACCTTTCGGGATTGTCGTGTGCACTTCCGACAACCGTTGTCGAAATAGCTGTATGAAATGACGTGACTGTGTAAACTGAAAAAAATCTTTATCGTCTTTTTGTAATCATGGACTGAAGCACGTCAATCGCTTTTGCTAACTTAAGGCTTAAAATATATCATTTATATTTATTAAATATTTGGTCCACCAAAGGAAGCCGACATTGGAGAGTAATTAAAACTAAAAGTTAAACAATCCGTTGTTAAATATTGATCCAAACTGTGAATAATTATATTTTACCTATCTTATATCCTTTGCTTTTTTTTCATTATTCGCTTTCGTATCTTATTTTATTATTATTTTTTCCACCCTCGACTTTTTCAGGTACGCACGTACGTACCGTGCGTGCGTACAGGTAGCTACGCTTGCTACGCTCCTGAGAAATGTATACTTTTTAATTTTTGATATGCGATTTTACCTTCTCGCTTCTAATTAGATAACGGAAATGAAAAAAAAATTTTTAACAAATTTTTTCCCCAACTTTTGCCGTAATTTGTAACACCTGTCGCAGCTTCTAATAAAGAACTGTCGCAATTAGGAATACATTAACGTAGCAATATTAAGCGAGCCAAATTAACAATGAATTGAGATAGAGGGTAACACACGTGACTGACGTTTTCTATCGTTTAATTGAAAGATGTCTTTGCACTATTGCCATGTGACAGTCCCCATTTTCTCTCTTCCTACCGTTTATTAAAAAAACCGATAATTACAAATAAAATACGACAGCATGGCTAATTACAAATAGCGCAAAAAATATTGGAAGCAGGAAGTTATAATACAGTGCAGTTATTAAAATAAGGACGATTTAAAGAACTAATAGAAACACGCATCGTAAATGATGTTATGGGCGCCCACTCTTAAATAAAACCTTTTGTCTAATGAACGCCCCTCTTAAGATGTCAAGCAGTTTGTATTAGACGCCCCTCGCTAATAACGCCCCCTGTCTAATAGACACCCCCCCCCGCAATTAAGATAGGAAACGGCAAAAAGGAGTAAAATCATTCAATTTGCCGGTTCAGTTTCTTGCTTAACAATGTATCTTGTTCAATGGCAAGCTCAAAATAACTATAAACTAATAATGACAACATATAATGATCCGAAACATTCTAACATCGATCAAAGTCGGAGATTTGGAAGAGGGATATGGATCTCTTGAAGGCGTTTCAGACGTATCAATAGATGGGGGGACCAGACATTCTGCTATTTACAGTTAACTCTCTTGATACTGAAATTTTCGCCCAAAACATACTAGTTTAACTGAGCTTCAAACGCTTTCCTCTTTTAAAATCCCTCCCTCTATTAAACGCCCCCTCTTGGCCATTGGACCCCTAAAATTAAATAAACGCCGCGGGTGTCTATAAAATCATTTACGGGTATTAGCAAATGTGACCCTCAAATTCATGCAAAGATGTAAATTATAATACTCAATTTTTTAGTTAATCAGTATAGTTGACAAGAACTTCCTTTAACAGTTAAGATGGAGACCTGGTTTTGGATTGTTGGTTGGTTTCTTTCATTTCAAACCATCATTAGAAATGGATTTACAATCTTCCTCGTTTGCAGCAGACGAAATCTCCGCACCGAAACCAACGCATTTATTGTTTCACTTGCGGTAGCGGATTTCTGTGTTGGTTTGAGCGTTATTCCTTCTCTGTTCTTCTGCGACATTACAAACACCTGCTACTGGTCTCAACATTTGCTATCTTGGTCATCTTGGGTGAATATTATAAGGTGGTTGCTTAGTAACAAGTCTGTTGTAAACTTATGCGTCTTAGTACTGGATCGTTTTATTGCCATCGTTCATCCTCTGAAATACATTAATTTCAGACTCGCTGTCGAATTATCCCAATTATTTTCTTCTCTTGGGTTATACCAGTTAGTTTTACGCGCTAAAGATTACCCTTTCTTTGTTTTATTTCAAAACAATACCTGTCCCTGTGTCACTTATTTGGCTGACAATAATTTCCGAGTTTCTTCCATGTGTTCTGTTAACACTCTGCTTTGCATCAATGACATTTCACGTACGCAGGCATGATCAGTCAGCACGCACCTTAGCAAAAAAGTTACGTTTTAACCATCAGATGTCGTTAAAAATCCTCCACGATAGGTCTGCAGTAATAATGATGGGTCTTTTGATAGGAGTGTTTCTTGTTTGCTATGGGATGCATCTGCGTTGGCGCTGTGTTTAAAAAGAAAATTACAAAGTTAACTAAAGTTTACCACTTGACGCGCGTAACTCATTCTTGTAAGATGTAAGTCTTTTATGAACGAGTGTGAAAGGCTTGAGCAATTCAGTAAAAGACTGATAAACGTGTGAGGCTTGGACTCAAAGCGAATTGAAATTTGGAAAAAATGGCGCATTAGGAGAGAAAACAAGAACCTTTGGACCCTCAGAGAATACAAAATTCAAGGGAAAGGACTTAGGATCAAGTTTCACAGGTGGTGTGAGACGCAAGTTCTTATTCGATGGAACTTTTTAGTTTCACATCACGAGAGTATAATTTTGTGTTCACACCGGCTGCTACCAAAGCCCGCTTTGCTTCACTTGCTCGATTTTGGTATACTCGAGCAAGACTCTGCATCAATTGAGTAACAAAGATAGCGTGAGCATGTGCCGCTTGTTGCTTGGATACAGTTCGGACGCACGCTTAATAGCCGTGCGCTTTGTACAGCGGGCTCATCGGTTATGACCATCAATTTATCAATCTGAAACGGATGTTCGCACTCTGAATACCAGTTTGACGGGAGAAAAAAAAGATTGACAAGTTCAGAAGTTCGAGGTTCGGTGACTTCATAAGGCTTGGTGCCAATTTTCCTCCGCACCGAGGTTAATTTTGTTCGTTCAACAGTCTTCGTAATCAACTCTGTTAACGGCGATAGATTCCTAGAATGTACCGAACCGAACTGAAAGATTAACTGTACGATATTCTTGTTATATGAATTAATTTCCTTGTTGAGAAAAACACAAAGAAATGTAGTAGTTTTGTAATCTTTCCGTGCATGTTTATTTCAGGTTAGTCTTGCAGGTGTGACTGAAATGATAAAATCGTGTAAAGTGTAAAATGACTTGTTATGGAGAAAAAAGGTATAGCTATCAAATGTGTCACCTTTTTCGCCCCGGTTACACGAACGTAAGTCTCATTTTCCTTTAAATTCTGTAGAAATCATGACAAAGAAATAAATATTGGTTGCTAAGGAAGCCCAACAGCAAATTGGAGCTACGAGTTGTTTGTGGCTGGAACGATATTAAAATCGTTGCATACCGAATGAATAATAAAACCTTCCAATTTAGCAGTACGAAATAAAAATGCAGTAGAAGGTATTTAACTAAACAATATTAATAATTGATTGATAACTGAGCTAGTGAAACAGTTGTTAAAGATCATATCGACACCCCAGGCGTCTTGCGCCATGTATATATATATATATATAGTGAAAGGATTATAAAATAACAAGGTTTTATAAATAATCAATAAACTGTTGGACAGGAAGTTTTTGTGAAGAGGGTGTTTTTTCCACAGTTGAACTGCCTTTAAAAACTTATCGACATTGTGTTTCTGTTTCACATCGTGGTCAGTTAATTTTTTTTCTTGCTCTGTTTATTAACTGAAAACCTTTGCATGCTCTGTTTAGTACAGCAGTGGAATTAAACGGAATAGACTGCATGCATGGGCAGATTACCGTGATGCTGCTGGCTCATGTCTGTCTTGTTTTATTTTCTCGCTTAGGAATAGTTAACGACAACGGTGGAAACGTTCTCAGGCAAATTTACTGATATTAGAGACAGCCTTTTTATTTATTAATGCACTTTTGTAGTAATTTGTAGCAGACCTGTCGCAATTTGTAAGAAATACATGATGTCGTCGGCTGCAATTTAGACTAATATAAAGTGAAGGTATATTTTTTTTTAATCAGCTAAGGTCTCGGTTAATTCCATCTGTTATAACTGAAAGACCGGAAATGGTTTAGCTGTAAAGAGAATAATTAATTAAGATCCAGCCAGATAAGAGCTATTTAGATTAAGATCGGCAATGTTGGAGTGTCCCTTTCCATTTGACAAAATTGTTGTCTCAAATACCGCTCTTTTGTGGCAACGATAACCAAACGCACTGTAACTTTGGTCAGGTCGATGTAGTTCCATTGGGCACGTGGAATTTCCAACATTTCAACCAGAATTTTTGTTGTATTGAAAGCGCCCATTGGCTTTGAATTACAGCACGCAACTATCCTCATTTTCCTACCAACTGTGTTGCGACAGCTCGGTCAGTTACCTACTGCGCATGCGAAACACATTATTATTAGAAATTACCAAGTTTATGACAAAGTAGGACAATCAAAAGGACTTCAGTCTAGTAACATACATCTGCCAGTGAATAACTCACAACCTCCTGACATTATTGCGAAGAGGATATTTTTCTTTTATCTGTAGTTAATAAGAACCTCTCTTAACTGCCGTTACTACGGATGGAGACCTGGTTTTGGATTCTTGGATTGGTTCTTTCGTTTCTTGCCATCACTGGAAATGGATTTGTGATCTTCCTCGTCTGCAGCAGACGAAATCTCCACACCAAAACCAACTCGTTTATTGTTTCACTTGCAGTAGCGGATTTCTGTGTTGGTTTGAGCATTATTCCTTCTTTGTTTGTATGCGACGTTACAAAAACCTGTGACTGGCCTCAGGCTTTTCCTTCATGGAAAGATGTCGTAAGGTGGCTGTTTAGCTACTTGTCTGTTTTAAATTTGTGTTCTCTGGTGCTCGACCGTTATATCGCCATCTTAAAGCCTTTTAAATACATAACTTTCATGACTCGATCTCGTGTTATTCAAGTGATAACTTCCTGTTGGATAGCGTCATTTACGCTGGTTGCGCTCAAGACCGCACTTCGGCTTTGCTGTGAGACCCCTCTGACCAGTATCGTTGCAGTTGTGGTTTTAATGATTTCCATGGAAATCTTTCCATGCGTTCTGCAGATACTCTGTTTTGTGTCAATGTTAATTCACGTATGGAAACAAGATCGGTCAGCACGCACCCTAGGACGGATATCTTTTAAAACCCGTAACGAGAAGTCTGCAGTAATAATGATGGGTATTGTGATAGGAGTGTTTGTTGTGTGCTACGGAATATATTTACGTTGTAGTCTCGTAGTACTATCCGACACAAATGCATCATGTAAAGATGAACAATACAAAATTCCTGTATTGGTTTTAAACTCGGCCATTAACCCACTGTCTTATGCTTTTTTCAAAAGAGACATAAAGAAAGAGTTTAAAAGGCTTATCAGTCAGGTGGTTTAATTTAGGCGGTAAGGTAACCGTGTAGAGCCTTCTACTTGATCATTTTTGAAGGACATAGATCTTAATATTAGTTGGAAGAACTGCCCTTGATAGCAGATTGTGTCAGGCATCGCAGGCGGCAGTTTTGTGGCCGGCAATTCCCTGGCGATTTGTCTCAAATCATAGTTTGGAAGCACTGGTGTTTAAGGAGGGTACAAGAACCAAAGGACGATGAGAATACAATCCAATAGGGACCTTACTATCCGAAAACAGAGACGCCAATGAATACGTCGCTGAAAAATAGACTTCGCGTCCAATGAAACTTTTTTCTCGGTCATACCAAGTCGCCCAGTGAATTGAAAGTACGTTGACATGTGTTAGGTTGGAACTGAATAGCGGAGGCTGTAGTGTATTAAAACAGAGAGAGAAGTAGTAAATAAATTTATCGCCTTGTCGTTCCAGTTCTTAAGCCCGTCAACTAAAAAAAAAAATAACTATTCCACGTTGTAGTTGTGTAGGGACAACGAAGAAATGTAAACAAAAGCGTGATGCACGTGCCGCCAGAGCTGTCGTTTTGCTCACTCAAGCCGCTTCTATTTTAGGCGTTCTCCTTGCCGTCGCCGTCGTAGTTTCGGAAGGTCCCTACATATCTCAGATGCTCTTGAAACGGCGATTCCGAGGTATGGACGAAATTTCTAATTGAAACTTTTTGTTTCAAACCAAATTAAAGTGTTTCTTTTTCCTTACTTCATTTTCCACATTAATTATTGTATTCAACTCTTTTAAGTAGTTTCCTAGAATTTAAAGAAGCATGAAGTATTAAACGTTTTTGTTTTTGTACCACAAAAGAATTGTATTATTTTTTACTTTCCCTGAAAACTGATAGTTAATTAACCTCAGTCCATGCCAGGTGTGAATGAAATATTAAAAACTTTAAAGCGCGATCTGTATGATCCATACAGGCAACATGGATAATTTTTTTCAGATTCCCATTGCTCCCTTATGGTGCGGCGAAAAGCCATCTTTTTCTTCAAACAAGTTTTAACGTAGTTTTGCCTTAAGTTTAGAGAACGTCTGTGGACGATTTTGTAAGAATTTGTAATATGCGTCTTGATTTGCAGTACGTAGTAGCTGTTCTAATTTGCATTCGGAAGGATCCTCAATTACGTTCCTGTCATGTTCAGGGCGTCTCCGTACCAATGAAAATAAAGCTAAATAAGTTGACTGAAAACAGGTATTGCAAAAACGAAACATAAATTCAAATAAACTATTGCAAAGCGATTTATTTCTGCGTCCCACATGATGAAAAAGTGACGCTAAAGTTATTGCCGTCTGAATAACACCCTCCGAGTTCTGCTTAATTCCTCATACCCCACGAAATCCGAATTCATTAATTGCTTTATTATTCATTCAAAATAATTCCTAGTTTAAAAACATAGCTAAAACATGCTTACCTGCATCGATGTTAAGTTTATCTTCGATAGTGTGCGTTCAGGTTTGTCCAGCTCCGCGAATATTCTCCAAATAGCAGCCAGTGTCGCCCTCCGAGTTGCCTTCTTGCTGTTTTTGCTATGTTTTAGCCATTATTTCGCCTAGTTCCAGCTGATGTATTTATCATGGGTTATGTAACCTTTTCTTTGGGGTGTTACATGGTATGCTGTTCTGTTGCTTCATTAGCGGTAGGCTATATATATTCGAGTTGTTCTCATCTATATTCATTCGCGTCTTACGACCGTCCCTACGCCCTCAAAATTATGTCTGATGTCGAAGACGTTACTCCAGCGAACACAGATTTTCCTAGCAGCGACGTTTTGCTGCCTTCGCTTCCTAAAAAACCTTTGTCTCAATCTCTCGAAGCTTCAGTACCAATCCAGTCTTCAGAATCCAGTGATATAGCGTCCGCGTTCTCTCTATTCAGGGATTATTTCGACAAGAAGTTGGGCGCCTTGAAGCGAGATATTCAAGACGAGTTGTGCAGTAATACCGATTCTGTGGCCAAAAAGCTCAAAGAAGAATCCAAGATCACGTTTAGATTCGAAGGTAATCATGAAGAAACAGTTTCAATTCAACTCCGACCTTGCAGAGAAGGTGAAGTCGGCGTCAGTTGCTCTCGGGAAGAGAAAATTAGACCTTGTTAAAACTCACCTGGAAGAACTAGACTCTGACATCGAGAAGCGCAACAAACTTATCAGACTGGCAGACAAGTCCGCCGCCGGGTTGGGATTTAGTGAACGAGTATTTATCTGACGAGCTGGCTAGCGGGTCAGAGGACGAAAAGCGTATCCGCCGTGCCGAACAGAGGGCCCTTCGTAAACGCAACCAACGCCAACAGAAAGCGAAGCCATCCAAGCAAGGTTATTCACAACTCCAATCATCTACCGCAACCACCGCGTTTGCTGGCCAACATTCATCATCCTCCAGACCTATTTCTCTTACTTTTGGCGCTTTCAGCAAACCAAGACCAAGTGATATTTGTTTCGCCTGCGGCTAGCAAGGTCATTGGAGGTCTCAGTGTCAAGTTAATCCTTAAGCCAGATCTTCAAGCTCGGGGCCGTCCTTTCCTAGTTCTTCTGGTCTTTCGGGCATTGGAGGTAAATAGGACCACAGAATTGAAAACTTGTTCTCCAAGGTTAGATATTAGCTTTACTCAATTTATTAGACATGTATCCTTCCTATTTGAAGTATTTCAGGGAAAGAGAATCTAGTTAATTAGTCGATTTCGATTATGATCGCAATCTATTTGAATTTGAACAGAATTCTGCATTGCCAGTACTTAAGGGTAGACTTAGGTCCTGTTTAAGTTATTGGCACACTATTGGTGCCAATAGTTTTGTTATCGACACTATTAAATTCGGTTATCGGATCCCATTCATTAGCACACTTTTTCAGGCGCGTTTTTCTAACAATCAGTCAGCTCTTAATAATGAGTCTTTCGTGGAGTCGGCTATCGCTGAATTAGTCCACACTCATGCCGTCGTTGAGGTGCCCTTTATTCCACATTTCCTTAATCCGCTCTCTGTCTCGATACAGTCTTCAGGCAAGAAGAGGCTTATTCTGGACTTACGTCATGTCAACCATTTCATTTGGAAACAGAAGTTTATTAGGTGTGAAGATTGGAGAGTTTCATTATCATATGTTAATAAGGGCGATTACCTTTTCAGTTTCAATCTCAAGTCTGGATATCACCATATCGATATTTTTCCGGATCACCAAATTTTTCTGGGTTTCTCCTGGGTTTTTTCTGGTACCGTTCGGTATTTTTGTCTTGCATCACTTCCGTTCGGTCTAAGCTCAGCCCCATACGTCTTCACCAAGTGTCTCAGACCACTCGTTAAGTTTTGGAGGTCTAACGGGATTAAAATAGTTGTGTTCCTCGACGATGGGTGCGGAAAAGGGGATTCACTGCCTATGGCTAAGGAAAATTCATTGTTTGTGCAATCATCCTTAAGCAGTGCGGGGTTTGTTGCCAACCCCCGCCAAATCACTATAAAACCCCACTCAGGTGCTTGTTTGGTTGGGTTTAAACTGGGACTTAGTTATCGGTACCATTTCTATTATCGATAGACGTATTTGCAAATTTATCGCTCTGATTGACAAATTTCTTCTATCCGCACCTTATGTTACGGCTCGGGATTGTGCCGTTATCGCAGGTCATGTTATGTCCATGTCGCCAGTTTTGGGTAACCTGACTCGTCTCAAAACCCGTTTTCTTTACAAGGTCATAGAATCCCGCCGTAGTTGGGATTCCCATTTTAATATCGGGCTTCATAATGATTGCCTCTCTGAAATATTTTTCTGGAAAAACAATATCGTTAGTCTTAATATGGGAGCTATTTTGCCTTATAATGCTCCCCTTTTGTTTAGCTATTCGAACGCTAGCAACGTCGCCTGCGGGGCTTTTGTTGTGGGCACTAATGAGGTGTCACATCGTATGTGGACTGCTTGCGAAGCAGCTAAGAGCTCTACCTGGAGAGAACTTAAGGCTATACAATTTGCCTTAGGTGCGTTCAAAGCCTCGGTTCGGGGTAAGTGTGTAAAGTGGCATTCTGACAGCCAAGGGGCCGTTCGTATTGTGGAGATAGGGAGTCCTAGTGCAGAATTGCATTCTATTGAGCTTGATATTTTCTATTTTTGTCGAACTTACAGTATTACACTTATTCCCCAGTGGGTTCCCAGGGAACTTAATGCTTGTGCTGATGCGATTAGCTACATTGTAGACTTCGATGACTGGTATACAACCCCCGAGTTCTTCGCCCACTTGGACCGCCTTTGCGGCCCACACACAGTCGACAGGTTTGCGAATGCTGCCAACGCCCATCTTCCCAGATTCAATTCTAGGTTTCGCGTACCCGGCACTGAAGCTGTTGACGCATTTTCAATCTCAAGGAATGGAGAGAATAATTGGCTAGTTCCTCCCGTCCACTGCATTACTAGGGTGGTTCAGCATCTCCTTGTATGCGGTGCGGTTCGTACTTTAGTCGTCCCTTATTGGCCGTCTAATGAGTTTGGGCCTTTCTTGTTCGCAAATGCAATTCAATTCCAACCGTACTTCCTTGAGTACATTCATTTTCCCTACCCGTCAGGGATTTTTGCCCTCGGGTGTTACAAAGATTCACTCATTGCAATTGGTTCAGACAGGTTTAACAGCGCGGTCCTGGCAGTCAGAATTGGCGCTAAGGGGCCTTAGTTTTTTCAAGCCGAGTGGCTTTAGGTGGCCCACGTGTTTTTTATTCCGCTTGTCAGTTCATTTGTTCTCGTTTCGCATGGAACTAGCTCGCCGAGTGGCTTGTTTACCTTCGTTTTTTAGTTGGCCCATATGGCCTTAAATAGTTTTGCATCCGGTCAGCGGCATTACCAAGCGTCCATTTTTTATTGCTGTATTGACCCCAGTGCGTGTATTGAAGAATTTTGCCATATATTTTTGTTCTTATCCTCGTAGAAGTTCTCAAAGATGCCTTGCAGCCTAATATTCAACAGGTTGAAGACAGGCGACTCCGCGCCGGGAACTGGTTCAAGATCTC